AATTAATAAGTTTATCGGCAGGGTGTCCCAGAATAACGTGTACAACGGAAGACCACAGATTGGTGGACTCAAAATAGGCAGATCTAGGCTAATTCACCTATATCCAAAGTCGCTTAATTTGACCGCTAGATGGCCTCAAAGTTGGTGAAATTTTTTTGAATTTTGTAAATAACTCGAATTTTGATTATTTTTGGGGTGTGGAATTTTGAATTTTGTAAATAACTCGAATTTTGATTATTTTTGGGGTGTGGACTTTTGCTTTCCATCTACACATTTTGGTGTTATACAGAGTGTTTTTTAAACCTACAACCCCTACAAAATTGATGTATGGTGATAATATCCGTTCATAACTTTTCCTCTTTCCGGCAATAATGACAACTATTTTCTATCTGACAGGTGATATAATTTGGAAGTTTTTAGGCCTCTTGTAGAATTTTGATTAAATGAGGGGTTTGGGTACAAAAAATATTTTTTAAATGTCTATATTATCGTGTCACCCATATTACAATACTTAACAAAGTGCTAGTAGGCACTGATTTTGTAGGTTGACTGTAATTTTAGTCTGATTATTAAGTCATTGCCTGACAATACTTAATGAGCGTTTGCGACGATAAGATATACCATCTGTTACTTCATTTTTCGATATGGATATACACACCTACGATGAATTGGAGGAAAACCCCATAAAGTGGCAAGGAGTTGTGGTTATGCTCGAGCATGCGCATGTCGGCGATAGATTTTCGAACCATGATGATTCGAATTTGTAACACCATTAAAAAACGCATTTATAATACTTTACGCAATCTCGTGTTCATTATACTGGTTGTATTATGAATAAAAATGGAAACTACCCATGTGATACTAAATGTACTATGAGTCAAATAGTAATACCAGTATTTAATGTTTAAGTTGTAACACCCCTCTGTAAAATGGGATAATATTTTGTTAATCTTTATACAACTTCAAAAAATATATTTCTTGCTATTTTTATAGTAAGTTATTAGATATTCTGAAGCAGCGACACTTTAGTTATTTATTTACAAATCAATCTAGTTTGACTTCAACCAAAATATAAATTGTTTTGTTCATTCTTAAGGTTTAAGTAACGATTTCATTTGAACATATGAGGTTGTATAATTAATAATTGTTTTAGGAAAAGCGCTTTCGAAAAATGATTAATTTGCCCCGTTTATTACCAATCCCTTGAGTTATTACAGCTGTTCGAACCACAGCACCAATGTAATTTCAAGACATCATAATCTAAATGATTATGAACAATATATTAAGTACTTTTTTGCATATTTTCATGTCAGTTTTAAACTTTTTTGAAAATTGAGTAACTACAACAAGCAACGTATGTAAAACAAATTATAACAAATTTCCAGTAATTGCAAATATGGCTTTGAACAAATAAATATTTTGCTGCAACTGATACCGGAAATTGTTGAATGAATGAATATTAATTTATTCAAAATTCTATTCAAAGGAACAAGGCCGAAAATTCCTGTTGTTGTACAAAGTTCACCCACCATAAAATTTCTTTCTGTTTCATTGAATATTCGGAAGTTTCAATGACATTCATTTCGAGTGTTTTGATTTCTCAGGATTGAACCTAAATACTGTCAAAATAATTTTTACCGTTTATTTAATTAATAGAACTAATAAATTAGTTTCATAATAAAATAACATCAGGCTTAGACTTGAATTTATAACATCGTTTAGCCACCGACAAACGGACAGTGATAAGAGTGACCACTATCAAAATCTGAAACTTCCATTATAGGAGGTTCAGTAACATTTGCTTCGTCGTGGCGCAGTTATTACGTTATAACTTATGCTACCATTGTTCCTAAGTTCAATGGTATTGTTTGTAAAGTTCATTGAAAGTGAATTTTTACGTGCATAGGAATGCCTTAAATTAAATTACTTTAAGAAGAAAGGGTTTAAATAACCCTTTGGAAATGGTATGTTCTTAATTTTTTTGGAATTTTATCCTAGATCTCTTTACATAGTTATCCGAGACAATAATCTCCGAAAAAAACATTTTTTTGAAATCGTTCGGAAATGTGTACTTTTTCGGATTTCAGACCCCAAAATACCGTATTCTAGTGTTTTAGTTGGTTGCCAAGCAAATATCAGCAAACAAACAGTTAACAAATACTTTCTCGTACCGTTTTTTTTATCTAATTTATACAGTAAATTCTCATAAATATAAGCAGGCAAACCATCAAAAATGCATTATTTAGTTAACATAACATTTATTGAACGTATTCCACATATAAAACGTTTATTATAACTATGTATTTGTTTATATTCATAATTATGTTGCACTTTGTACAACTATTAAACATTGGCTGAACTTTACTCGAAAAATCGGCATCATTATTGTTAATTATTTCTTCTGTTTGTGTTTCCCTCTTCTAAATATTTTATCTGCTACGTCTAGTTTATTTGTAAAAGATTCCTCTGTATATCCTTCGGCAACGTTTGAAGATTTCCATCCCCCATGTCTCTTTAATGCAATTAAATCTACCCCAGCCTTAACCAAAATGGCCACAGAGGATCTACGGAAACAATTAAAATATGTTGTTGGTCAAACATATAATAGAAATTTTCTACACATTATATACAAATTATTATAATATTTTACCTTTAGCAGAAAACTTTTTTAGGGACGCCTATGAAACTCATAAAATTTTATTGCTAGGCGTTTTTATACATGTTCAACTGACGGAAAGAGGAAAGACTATACTAAGTGCTACGAACTCTGGTGGTACATCATCACCACTATCTATCCATTTTAAATATTTTTAATATACATTATATATATATATAATTAAAATCTTCTTATTAGTGGGATTAAAGCCTATTTTTTAGATGAAACTCTTTTTTCTATATATATATATACCTTCAACTCATGATACAGCAAACTAAGGTACTAAGGTAGGTTAGTAAGCAACTAACAATTTTTTTTTCACAATAATTCCATCTTTTCGGTGTAGATTTCGTATCTCCCGTTAATATTAAATGGTTTTAATGTACGAACTCTGGTGGTACATCATCATCACTATCCATTTTTAAATATTTTTAATATACATATTTTAGCATTTATAGGTATTAAAACAATTTTTTCTTTTATCACAACAATAAAATAATGATTGTCAAGGAAACGATTTCATTAGCAATAAGATTGTAATGAAGAAATGTTAGGTATGCATTAATCAAAATTTCTTGGTTCATATTAATTAATTAATATTGTTTCCGATTTCAGAAAAAATATTATGTGTACCTCGTACATATTAAAAGCACATTCCCTGACTCAATGTTTGCACTATCATTCGGAAATATATTGGTTTTAGTAGGTACACAAATATGCTATTTTTTGCGTTAAAATCAATTATATTTGTGCATGCCTAAGCATTTTTTAGTTTCAGAATAACTTTTTTTAATTATTATCCAATCAAAAAATTTACCAAATTATAGTAAGATCGTATTCGATGCAAAGTAGAGAAAAAAAATGTCGGTCTTTTGTCTAAGGAAAATCATGTCATCAATTTAAGAAACGTAAAATGAACCATTTAAAATTTAAAATGAAATTGAATGTGGCGTAAATCAGAGACCGCCTCCAAAAGAACAAGTAAACAACAGTGGCGCGTATAGAGGTGAAACATATGTGGAATTTAAAAAACAAATTTATAATAAACTAGATACATTTAAAATAAATAGTTTATGAGAATGAAGAGATTTTTGTAGGAATAGGGTGCCAGCTGTGAACTGATCCCTTCATCCCTTCATAACGCATAAAGAAATTATTCAATTTCTAAGCCCCTTAAAACCGTACTGCATTGGATCCCTTGACAGTCAATGATTTATTACTTTGCATGGAATATGATCCTACTATAGTGGCTTGATAATGTTTTGAAGAGTTTTTTTCTTTATATTGTTATGTATAAACATAAAAAATTTAAATTACCCTCTTTACGTTTTGTAACATTTTATTTGTATATTCTACCTACTTATTTACGCTACATTGTTATTTGGAATCATGATATTTTAGTGTACCTACCTTTTTACATAAAAATTAATATTTAGAAAACAAAAACTAGAACATTTAGGCATATTGCTAATAGATATAACCTAATATTTCATTTGTTATTTTTTACGTTTTTTCTGAAAAAAAATGCCTTAAAGTAAGAATAATAAAATGATGTGCTTTTATAAAAACATTTACGCTTCATATGGACATAACTATAAAATTTTATTACCGAGAGGAATGAAAGGGACATTTTTAATAACGTATTATTCAATTGTAAGAATGAAAATATGAATCGCTGTATCGGAAAACTTTTACTCTGTTGAAACCTGTTTCAATTCAAACGAGAATTATTTGAAAATATACATCTTTCATTAAAATTACAATATACGTTTATTATAGACGTCTGTCTCTCCCATCGTACTCGCTACTACATTGTATTATTTCTTTCATAACACCCATTGGCAACAGGCGACTGCAGTATGAACCTCTCTACTAATTTACACCAATGACAAGAGTTCTATTTCTTTTAGATCCAATTCTGGTTCTCCGTAGAGAGCCTCTTTTCCATAATCCAAAACTTCACGTTCCTTCAGGATGTGGTAGGCTATCAATGTTACGCTATTGCATGGTCTGCATTGTGTCATCGTTGTAGATACAGCTCGGTTTCATGTAAATTTCCTTTCAACTCAAATCATGCTGTAAAGAAATCGATTACTACCCATATACGTAACTTATCATGACAAGAATAACGATGCTACCATATTTTAACTGTGCAAGTGAAAAAAAGCTTTCGTGTAATCTAAAAATGTACTGACCTGCAAAACGTTAAAGCAAATAACACTCCACGAAATTAAGTTTAAATTAGATTTTTATTATACGTATGTTTTCCTGCACCCATTTTTTTGTATAGATTAAAATTGTATTGTATTCTTGCAAATATTTAGGCTGTTTTCCGTTTTTTCAGACGAGATGGGATTCCCATCATCCTTCCCCCACAATCAAGGATTTTGATAATAAAGTGTCCGAGGCGGATGCATACCTTCAACTCATGATAGAGCAAACTAAGGTAGGTTAGTAAGCAACTAACAATTTTTTTTTTCACAATAATTCCATCTTTTCGGTGTAGATTTCGTATCCCCCGGTAATATTAAATGGCTTTAATGTAATATTGGTTTTAATAATAATGTTAGCAAATTTTGCAATATAGTCCAACCAAATTACACTTGGAGAAAAAAAAATTGTTACCTGGACTTTTATAAGTGGAAATATAGTAAACCTAAAAAAAATAAATGCGTGAGCAGGGGCGGCGGAGGGTTGATTTGGGGGGTTGAAAAGTTATGAAAAATTGTATCATTGGGATTTCTGGCGAAAGTTGACGTCAAACAAAATAATAATTTAATTTTGACGAAACTTGGTGAAGGTATACCTTTCTCTGTCTTAAATAACCTCAAATTTTTTTAGATAAAAAAATTAAGAAGTTTCTGAGATATTAATTTTTTTCGGCCCGAAACACTTTTTTTTCAAAGAAAAATTCTACTTAAAAAATCATCATACAGAGTTCTGCCGGTAATCATTTTTTTCATTTTGACATATACTTTTTGGTGAAATAAAAAAATATGTAGTAACAGTTAAAAAACATGCTCAAAAATGCAAAAAATAAAAATAAAAGTTACTTGCAACAATGAATTTTTCAGTTATTGTTGATAATTTGTTTATTATTTGACCCAAAACTTTATTTTTGTACAGTATTGCTATAAACATCTAAGTCGAATTACAAATGCACAAATCGTAAATTATCTCTGGATGATTTGAAATTTCAGCAATAGAAAGTTTTAACTGCAAAGTCTACTGTTGACGCGAAATCCGAAAACTCGAAATTTTGCAAAATCATTATATTTTTTTATGGCTTTATTTGAAAACGAATTTTAAATAAATTGCATATTTACATTGCCACTTTTTTCGCTCTATCCAATGGCGTCAACATTTTTGCAATTCGACGTTTCGTCTTCGAGGGGCCATCATTAGATTAATTTTTTTAAATATACCGCTGCTATTCTTATGACAAAATCTAGTCATTTTTAATTCTGTATTAGATGATATTACTATTGTAATCAGTTAAAAAGGTTTGTAGCTATTAGAGCCGTACTCAGGAAAAATTTTAAATTATAGCTAAAACAAGCTAAAAACTTTTATATTACAATAGTAATATCCTCTAATTCAGAATTAAAAATGACTAGATTTTGTCATAAAAATAGCAGCGACGTATTTTAAAAAATTAACCCGATGATGGCCCCTCGAAGACGAAACGTCGGATTGCAAAAATGTTGACGCCATTGTATAGAGCGAAAAAAGTGGCATTGTAAATATGTAATTTATTTAAAATTCGTTTTCAAATAAAGCCAGAAAATTTAAGAATTTTGCAAAATTTCGGTTATCTCTTACCGTTTCCTAGATCCTAATGCTATCCCATCCTTATCTTGGACACACTGTATATCTATGAATTCATCAAACTTTAAAAAAAATAAGTATACTAATCGATCCTACGGGAAAAAAAATATTATTTATTTTATTTATTCACTATTCGACTTATGTTTATAGCAATACTGTACAAAAATAGTTTTGGGTCATACAATGAGACAGTTTTTTTTGTATTTTTTCCGTACAATTGAATGGTGTAGTCAGTTTTTGATTTTTTTTAAATTTAAATAAATTATCAACAATTACTGAAAAATTCATTGCTGCAAGTCATTTTTTTCTTTTTTGTATTTTTGAGCATGTTTTTGAACTGTGATTACAAATTTTTTTATTTCACCAAAAAGTATATGTCAAAACGAAAAAAATGATTACCGGCAGAACTCTGTACGATGATTTTTTTAAGTAGAATTTTTCTTTGAAAAAAAAGTGTTTCAGGCCGAAAAAAATGAATATCTCAGAAACTTCTTGATTTTTTTATCTAAAAAAATTTGAGGTTATTTAAGACAGAGAAAGGTATACTTTCACCAAGTTTCGTCAAAATTAAATTATTTTTGCGGAAACGAGAAATAAAAAACGAAAAATCAGAAAAAACCTGTTTTCGCATTTATCTCGGAAATTTTGAGGTTATGTTAAAAAATGACTTCTACAAAAGTTGTAGATTTTTGCATAATCTACAACTTTTGTATTAGATACTTTTTTGTTTGACGTCAACTTTCGCCAGAAATCCCAATGATACAATTTTTCATAACTTTTCAACCACCCAAATCAACCCTCCGCCGCCCCTGCTCACACATTTATTTTTTTTAGGTTTATTATAAGCCCCTTTACCATTTCCACTTCGGTCTAATATTAAACTTTTCAAAAGTAAGGCAATCAAAGCTATTGTGTTAAATATACGAGGTCTATTTAGAAAATAATCAAACTTTATTTTCCCTATTCGTACACTTTTCCGAGCGCTGCTTCCATTTCACGAAGCAGTTCTGGATACCTTCATTTGACATGGCCTTTAAAGTCTGTATCGAATTTGCTTTGCTGTCATCGATAGTCTGAAAAGTGTCCTTTGCAAATTGCAAAAAGTCAAGTCTGGCGAGTAAGGAGGGTGAAGGACGACAGTTATCTGATGTTGGCACAAAATTGACGAATTGACCAATTCAAATTGCAAAATTCCGTTAAAGTGGATTGGATCGAGACTGACTTTTTTTTGACCTTAGAGATCTTTTGTTAATCCATTGTGATGATTGAACTTTTGTCTCAATGTCGTAGCGGTAAGTCAGCTTTCGTGTCCCGTTATGATCCTTCGAATAAACGTGTCATCGTTATTAAGGAGTTGTCGACAACGTCCACACGATTTTCTTTCTGTCGTTCGATCATCAAACGAGGAACAAATTTTGCTGCAACTCTATGCATGTTCAATTTTTCAGTCAAAATTTCACGGCATGACCCAATTGAGATGTTAACCTCTGACAATTTATCTGACAGTCAATCGGCGATTTGCACGCATCAGATATTTGACTTTCTGAACGTGGGAGTCGTCAGTTAAGTCGAAGGTCTTCCTGGTCGTTGATCATCTTCAATTGACTGAATTTTGTGGGCTTAAAAATTAAAATCCTAAATTTGTGTATTTGTAGAGGTCGAGCGTCATATTGTTTATAACAAAACAAACAAAAATAATTGCTCTTTTGTCAGTTTTTCGCTTAGGTATATCTCTGAAGATAAGCCTCTAATCGATATGAGGTGTACTTATCGATTTTGTTCCTGAGGAAATTTTCTACAAGAACAGACTTTTGCGAAAGCTCGCAAAATTTTTTTTTAAATTGCAAAATTAGCGGTGAAAAAAGAAAATGTACAAAATTGTTTGCATTAAATAAAAAGAACGAATTTGGCTGAAATTGTATGAAACTACAGGAAAAGATAATTGTTGGGGTGCTCAACAAATACCCGCAATCCGGACCACCAATTTCAAAATGGCGGCCTATTGCAAAATTATAAAGTCGAAAACGCGAGCGCGTTTATCTTCTGCCCAGGTCAAGATATCGAAATTCGGCAAAAAAGGATAGGTAATAAAAGGAAGGTAATTACATTAACTCGCGTCTATGTAAATTTCATGTTTTTTAAGATGCAAAATAAAAAAGTTACTAACAAAAAACCAAAAAAAGAAACAACTAGGATCTTTTTCTCGGCGATTTTTTAATATACAGATTTCAAACCAATTGCATCAAATAGTGCTTTAAAAAACATGAATTTAAAAAAGAAGCGTCTCGATACGACCAATAGTATCCGAGATATATATTTTTTTTCTTAAAAACGGTATTCTGCCTGTTCTATTTAATATTTTGGAATAAGCTTGGGCTCGTTGTAAAGTAGAAGACTTCCTTTATACGCTGAATTTTTTCTAAACGATTCGACCAAGAAATTCGTTAAAGGCAGCGAGATTCGCGCGGCTGAGTGGTAGCCAGGAGAGGGGAGCGCTGTGACGTCATAGTGCCCTTGCTGCGCTCGGCTTTATATAATTCTTACTTAACAAATGGATTGTGCACTTAGAAAGCGGCTACCGGAATGCTTTTTTTTTAAATCAACTTATTTTTTTCCACTCTTTTGAATGGTGTAAGCAAAAGTATGTGAAAGCCATCGCCAGACCCCGAAAAATACATATTTATTGACTTTTCACGTTTTCTTTCATAATTATACTTTCGATATTTTCGCAAGAAGATCTTTTTACGTATTGAAAATATCGATTAGAGCTAAAAACTGAAAAAAGAGCAATTATTTTTTTTTCTTTTGTTATAAACAATATGACGCTCGACCTCTACAAATACACAAATTTAAACTTTTAATCTGCGTATTTTTTACTTAATTTTAAGCCCATAAAATTCGTCTTAGGCCCGATTTTTGAAACAGGCATGTGTTTGGTCTAATTCGTCCGGATTATTTGTAACATTGCGTACGACCCAAAGCTTGTTACAAAAGTTGAAACGTTTCCGTGAAAGTTCTGTCCAGTTTCTCGCAATATTTTACGTTGCATCGTTGTTCCAACAAAATCGCACATTTCAAAAATCGTCAATAACACTTAAACACGTTGCACTGAAATAACAATATCACGAAAACTAAATGAGATATCAACAATCGAAGAACATGTGGTTACGGAGATTATGCGCAACGCAATGCTGCAAACCGCATATTATTGAATATTATTAGCGCGTAATTCAAAAAGTCGGTTATTTTTTTAACAGACTTCGTATCACTATAACGTTAAAAAGTATCGTAATTTCTCGAAAAATAGTAATCTTAAAATTAATGACAACGAATAGCGATTTGATATTTATTAGTTGAACCATTTCAACCACTCCACTCATGTTTAGAGATTTTTAGTCGGTAGTACCAACTATACAGTGTTGGTTGCCTATGCTCGACGTCCTCATGGCTTTTAATCAAATCATTTATGAAGACTCTTAAAGAAAATTAAAAGACCTATGCAAGTGCCTATGCTTTTTCTTAATTGTAAATAAACGATTAAAGCGATTTTATTCGCGTTTGTGTAGATATTTTTTGTTCTTAGAATGAAAAAGTTCCGGCTCAGGATATATATACAGT